TCCTTTCTATTTTGTTTTTTTTTTTTTTTGTTTTTTTTTTTTTTTTTTTTTTGTTTTTTTTTTTTTTTTTTTTTTTTTTGGGGGTTATAAGTTACATGTTGGACATCCTTTGCTCTCTCTCTCAACAAGTGCAGGTTCCTTACTATTCGAATAGGCTGAGCTCTATTTTGTGAAGTTGTCCTCTAAATTATGAACAAAAAAAAATCTGAAAATACCAATAAATCATTATATCTTGAAATATCTTTGTGGGTTGTCTGAATTTTCTCTCTCTACCACTCAAAAAAAAAAAAATCTTTGCTGTATGATCGAATTTGTTGTTCGGTTACTCAATCATGCCTGTTCTAGTCCGCAAGCAGCTGAAGCCGTCTTGGATCCACACCAAGTTCAGTTGGCTCTTCCAAGTATCATTCTATTTTTCTTGGCTGTTTCGACTATTTTTCTATCTCGAGTGAAGATATGAAGTTTTTGTTCATTATTGAACTTTCTTGCTTTGTGTTTTTGAGGCAAGCTGATCCGCCACTGCTGATTTCTGTGCTTGTTGATCAAGCAATATAAGTGTGCACTTGAAGATTCAACTGCGTCTTTCCACAACTTATTGTTCAAACTCCATCTACTCTCTTTCATAGCATCGTGAGTTTGAGGGAGAGTATGAAAGGAAAGTAAATATATTGTTTATCCGGTTAATATAGAAAATATATATTGTATATCGGGTTAATATAGAAAATATATATATCTGATTAATATAAGAAGTATATATATCAATATTTATGAGAAGGGTTGGTAAAGTATCTATAGTTTATGGTAAGTTTGAATATGGTTTAGGTATCTAGGATTTATTTCTATTATTGTCATCCTTAATTTGTCTATAAAGAGAAGGTATATATTATAAATCCGGTTAATACGGAAAGTGTCTATTGTATATCGGTTAATATAAAAAGAATATATTGCAATAAGTATATATGGAAAGTGGTGGTAGCGTATATGTAGTTTATGGTAAAAGAAACTACCTTCATCTAAAATATCACTCCAAGTTTCCCCAATCCAAGATGAGAGGTAAGGCAGCATTAGCTACTGGCGTGGCCTCATTGTTGCTTTTCTTCTCCTCCATGCCCATTTGCCAAGCAAAGCTAGGCCTAGGGGAACCAAAAGTGAGCCAGATTGAATTCTACATGCACGACCTCCTCGTCACAGAGAAGCCTACAGCAGTGATCGTGGCCGAAGCCAACACGACAAAGTCCTCGCCCACTCTCTTTGGCCAGGTCGTCGTTGTGGACGACCCCATGACCGAAGGGCCGGAGCTCACATCCAAGTTGATTGGGAAGGCACAAGGCCTGTATGCTCCCTCATCCCAAAGTGAGATCAGTTTGTCTGAAGCCGTCAATTTCGTATTCATAGATGGCAAGTTCAATGGCAGTACTCTCAGTGTGATGGGAAGGAACCCAATTCTGTATAAGGAGAGAGAGTTGTGGATTATTGGAGGTAGTGGAGCCTTCCGTCTCGCTCGTGGCTATGCTCTTAAACAAACCTACTCCTTCGATACAACAACTCTGAATGCTGTAGTCCACTACAATGTTACCGTTATCCACTGCTGAGGAAATCTGATTCCTATCCCATTTTAGAATATGATTCTATGACTGATGGAAATTTCCTTCTGTTGATTCTCCTTAACAAGTCGTGTTGACTTACTTTGATTGTAATTTTCAGACATAAAAAAAACGACTATTCACATAAAGAAAAGAAAAAAAATACGATTTGGTCAAAGATTTCTTTCTCTGCTGTTGGATATCGCTTCAGATGGGCAATTGAGTAAAATTTTCAATGACTATTAAAAGCATGTTAGGTATGAGAAGGACAATTTCTATGTGGCAAGCCCACATAATGTAGAAATGTGGGCTTCACAATAAATATATTTTTTAAATATAACTTGATTCTAATTTTTAGAGAATATGTAATCTCTAACATGGAGATCATGAATATGAAAAAATAAATAAAATAAAATATTAAAAATTAGAAATAATAATTATATTAAGAAAACATTTGGACCGTTAATTACACTTGTTTTTAGATGGACCACCTATTTGCATCCATCTTTAAGAAGAATGCGGTATACCTCTGGACCGCATATTCTATAAATGCAGTCTTGCCCACAAGAAATAATATTCCGTATGTAAATGGCCTACCTTTATTGGGTTAACTACCAACTTTATCTTTCAATTATTTGAAAAGATATTCAAGCGTACAACACAAAAAATAAAAATAAAAAGGGGCATACGAACATAATACATGTAGTATGATACTTAAATAACACATACTTTTTAATGGACGTTATTATTAGGATTTTGTTAAGGTTCTTCTACAAAGAGTATTTTCTTAATGTTCTCAGTAAATTCTTAATATCCTCCTCTCGTCTCAATGACAAATGGCGGAGTCAAGACACTGGCATATGAAGAGAAGGTATTACAAAAAGGTTAGCTTAGTCTATGGCTTTTATTAGGGCAGCAGCTCAAATCTTCCTAGAAATAATTGTTTTAGCCCAGGAAAAGCATCAAAAGAATCTCGTTTTTAGTATTTATGGATCTCATAAAAAAAAAAATAATAAATAAATAAAATTAAGGCACAAAAATATTATATATTATTTAGACTGTTCAGTTCTAATCTTAACTTTAAATTTCAAATTTTCTAAACTTCAAGCACTAAACAAACTCAACATTTAATTTTACCTTAATGTCTCCCTACCAGACTCGGGACCGCAAGATGGTCAAGAAAACAGTATAAAATCTAAACCCGTCCTTTATTAAGGCATTGCCCTATAGTTTCCGATAAAAATAAAAAGAATAAAATAGCAACATATCATAGTCAAACAAAAATATAATCACTCGCCTATCTAAAACCAAATGAGAGTTTACCCAGTATTCCTATTAAATTACAAGTGGATCAATATTAAATTACAAGTGGATCAATTGCAAGAAGACCTGTCTTTTTCAGTTCATCACGCCATAAACTAACCGAACCCATCCCCATCATGAAAACGGGTCGAAGGAAAACCTAACCCCTCCACATCATGTGAACGGGTAGAAGGGATTTCACAATGCCATACCCAACAATAAAAAAATAGTCTCATATTTTTTTTTATTTAAATAAGATTTTAATCTAAATTTTAGGGTGTAGATTTTATAAATATAACTAAATAAATGATTAAAAATTATTTTAAATAAAAAATAAGCAAAATACTATTAAATTTATTTGGATCAATATTTCTTATTCAAAATATTTTTTATTAATTTTATTCATTCTAATTACGAAAATGTAGTTACATCCCAAATTCTATATCAATATCATTTTAAAAGAAAAATTACAAGTACAAAATCCTTGGCCCTTGGATAAAAAATCCTTATCAAAAAAATGAAAAGTTTTTTTATCAATTTTGCTTTTTGTCAAAAAATTTTCTTATCAATAAAATAAAAAGTTTCTTATAAAAACAAATAAAAGGTTATTATCAATTATTTTTCTTGTCAAATTTCTTTTTTTTGTCAAGAAAATAAAAAGTAATAAAAATTTATTGTCAACAAAAAAGTTCTTATAAAAAAAAAACAACAAGTATTTTTTGTCAAAAAAAAGGTTCTTGCTAAAAACAAAAAAAATTATAATACGACAAATATTTCTTGTAAAAAAATAAAAGGTTTTTGTCAAAAAAACTAAAAGGTTCTTATCAAAAAACCATTCTTTATTGTAGTCCATGTATGATTATATACTTCATCCATGATAGTTCCATGATTTTTATTTTGTGTGATGCAATTTAATTGTTAAAATAAGTTCATACAGAGAAAAAATATGTCAATATTCACATATTGATGAATAAAATGAAAATTAATAATGTAGTACTCCGGTTTCTTATTGGATTCCTAAAAAATAACATTTATAATGAATTTTAATAATTTTTTTAGATTTTTTTTAAAGCTTAATCCGACCGATTCGGCCGATTCTCGATTCGGATGGGTTTTTGGGGTGCCCGATCCGGACCACCGATCTGTTTTTTAAACCACTGATCTAAACAATTGAAAGATGCTTTTGCTCCTTTTGAGAATCCACTTTTGAGCATCCACAAGACCAACCCTTTTCCCAAATATAATGAAGGAGATGTGAAAGGAAAGTATATATATTGCATATCCGGTTAATATGGAAAGTGTATATTTTGTACCGGGTTAATATAGAAAGTGTATATTGTGTACCCGGTTAATATATAAAGTATGTATAGCCATTAGTATAATGGGAAGGGCTGGTAGAGAATCTTATAGTAAGTTTAGATATGGTTTAGATTTATTTCTATTGTTGTCGGTAATTTGTCTATAAAAGACAAGGCTATATATTTATTTATTTAATGGACATTGAGTCTCATATATAAAAGAAAGTACCTCATCCAGAATCTCACTCAATTTTTCCTAAATCCAAGATGAGAGGTAACGCAGCATTAGCCACAGGCATAGCCTCATTGCTGCTTGTCTTCTCCTCCATGCCCATTTGCCAAGCACAGCTAGGCCTAGGTGAAGCAAAAGTGAGCTACATCGATTTCTACTTACATGACCTCCTTGTCGCAGATAAGCCTACGGCAGTGACGGTGGCCAAAGCCAACACGACAAGCGCCTCACCCACTGTCTTTGGCGAGGTTGTCATTGCGGACGATCCCTTGACCGAAGGGCCAGAGCTTACATCCAAGTGGATTGGGAAGGCGCAAGGCCTGTATGCTTTCTCATCCCAAAGTGAATTCAGTTTGTTCATGGCCCTCAATTTAGCATTCACAGACGGCGAGTTCAATGGTAGCACTCTCACTGTGATAGGGAGGAACCCAGTTCAAGAAAAGGTGAGGGAGTTGTCAATTGTTGGAGGTACTGGAGCCTTCCGCCTCGCTAGTGGCTATGTTCTTATACAAACCTTCTTCTTGGATACAACAACTCTGAATGCTGTAGTCCACTACAATGTAACCGTTATCCACTACTGAGGAAATCTCATTCTTATCATATTTTAGAAAGATTCTATGACTGATAAAAATTTCCTCGTTGTTTCTCCTTAACGAACGACTTGTTTTACTTTGAAGAACTGTTATCCATTATTGAGGAAATCTCATTCCTGTCACATTTTAGAATGATTCTATGACTGATAAAAATTTCCTTGTGTTTTTTCTCCAAGACGAAGTAGTTGTTTCTCTTTGAAGCAACACTTTGTTCAAGTGTGTGGAAGGGCACATGGAGCGGAAACCTCAACGGTCCTCAATGTTTGATGAATGATTAAAATGAGATACTGAATGGGGTGAATTGTTCGTCATTAATGATGGCCGTTATTCATGTGTATACAAAACGTTGCCAGAACTGAATCGAACTGGGGTTCATGAAGGAAGGTATTGCTTATGCATAAATGTTAACTTAATTGGATGGACCCCAACAAACCGAGTTGGTCTGCTAAAAACGTGAATCTCTAAAGCACATTTAAATTTTGCAGTTTTTTAAATAAATCTTATGAATTTAGTTAGTTTTCATCCAACAGGTTTGAGAACTCGTTGGACCACTGATTGAATTGGACAGGACACTGTTCCAGTTTCATGGAGTTTAGTCCGGATTTGAAGACATAGTTGCGGGCACAAACGTAATGTAATGCACTAATAAGAACCCATTTTCTTCACGGGTGTAAGCATATGCCTAATTTAAGCATGACTCCACTAATGGACTAGAAAGCACAGTAGGGCCTATTAGTTCATCAGCAAAAGGTCATGTAGTAAAAGCATAATCATTATGCCATACAAAACAGGAGCAGGGCATCCACACCACTTGTGCTGCACGGGTCCATGAGAGGCAGCCTAAAATGCTGTTTCAAGGTTAAAGATGTCCATATTCATTCTCAATACCTAGCAATAAAGATTATATAAAAACAATTATAATGGGTCCATGAGAGGCAGCCTAAAATGCTGTTTCAAAGTTAAAGATGTCCATATTCATTCTCAATACCTAGCAATAAAGATTATATAAAAACAATTATAATGGCTGGTGCAATTTCCTTTCTGCACAAGGTTGTTTGCCCCACTCACAGTGAATCGTGCAAATCCGATGGCCCAGAATCTTTCACTAGGTTGAAGATTCTCCTGTAAATACGTGACTCTTGACTGCTCTAGGGGGGTTTTTTCCGACGATCAAATTCAAACAACCCCCCCTCTTACCCATTTAGACAAACCCTCACACTCCCCTGAAACCTTTAGCCTAGGCCTAAACTTTGAGCACTCCCTGGTAACCTTAAACCCATTACAAGCGTGAGCGACAAGACTAAACTCAAGACAACTCCGAGTTTAATGACAACAGGAATTTAGACTTAACATCCCATCTACACCACATCTCAAGCTTAAAGGTGGCTCTAGGCAAATCACGCTAAAGCAGCTTGATTTGGGTTTCGACTCCTATTGCCAGGCTAGCAGGCCCTGCTTTGAGTAAGAAGTTTCATCTTTACGTTCATTTCTTAGGTTTAGAACAATGTTAAATTCTTGATTTTCAATATATATTTCCAAGTTTCCTTCCCTTTAGGCACATCTGATCAGCTGGCACTGCCAGCAATCTGTAGAGGGGTTGATCTCTCTTTGAGATTAATTCATTTGTGGGTTATAATTTGATAGGACCTTTAATTTGTTGAATTGAGTTAATAGAAAGTTTTTAGTTAAAATCAGGGAGCGAGTCCGAGAGGTTTCTCTCATGTTTTCGCTATAATTAGGTATGGTGCCTATCGTGGAGCTGGTCAAACAAACTAGTGCTACCCATACCCTCTAAAAGTCCTTGAAAATCAACTTCAGAGAGTTCCAGGGGGCACTGTGATGAAACAAAAATGGAAACTAAAGGCACTCCTGACCCCCGACACATCTGGAGGCTTGGAAAAGTGAGTGGCTCGAGGTGCTTTTTTCCATGCAGCTCGAGGTGCATATCGCTACTCATCTCACGGCTACGCCATACAAAACCTCTCTGGAAAACTCTTGACTCTGTCTGGGTGATAGGGCCTCATGTTCTCAAAAAGAAGGAAAGAAACAAAAAGTAAAAGGAGAGTAGGGAAGTTCTTTTTCCATACCCCTTGACGAAAAATATTTGAGGTGAGTTGAGACATGAGACCTTTGAGGTTTAATTTAAGTCGGTTTGAAAAAGCAAGTAGGAATTAATATCCACAATAGAAGATGAAATATTTCAACAATATTATAGATTTTTAGACCTAGACAGATTTGATTCCCATCAAAATTATTCGTTTTGTTATTTCAACAATATTATAGATTTTTAGACCTAGACAGATTTGATTCCCATCAAAATTATTCGTTTTTAACAAAAGAAAACTGGTTAACGGACCTTTTTAATTTCTTCTTATAAATAAAATAGTTTGAATTTAACCTAAAATTTTAAGGTCTCTATGTAAATCACTATTTCTTTATTTTTTATTTTTTTTTGGTATTTGGCCCATTTTCAAATTATATAACCAATTTTATTTTGAGAAAAATATAATCCTCAGCTTCAAGCACTAGAAAAATTCCACACTTAATTTTACCTTAATGTCGTCCACATTCCGGGTCTAAAGTTTCATGACACATTTTAAAAATAACTTGGTCCACTCTCTACTAACCTAACCAGATTGAGGACGGCAGTATGGTCAAGAAAAATAAAGTTTTAACTCTAAAGTGTTCCCTTACTAAGCCATTGCCATTTAATTTCCTATAAAATAAAGAACAAAATAACAACACATCATAGTCCAGCAAAATTAAACTAACTTGCATATCTCAAACCAAATGAGGGTTTCCTCAAGTATTCCTTATGGAAATCCCAAGTGGACCTAATGGAGGAAGACCTTCTTTTCCGGTTCATCACCCCATCCACCAACCTAACCTGGCGTATACTTGCATTATGCCTGGCAACATGCTAGGACCGACCCAGGCCCAGGCCCGGTCATGGCTCTTTTCAGGGCAGGCCAATTGAAAAAATAGTAATAATAAAATTTTCAAAACCCCGTTTTTTAATATTTAGACATTAAAATTTTGAGATTAG